GTATGATGACGGTTACTAAATTTTTTCGTTTGTATCAATCACATCCACTTCAATCAAATATCTTTCTGCTAACAACTAATTTTAAAGCAAAAATTAAAATTTTTTTGGTATTTTTTCATATATTTCAGCAGTTTTATTAAAAACTAGTATTTCATATTCAATTCTGTCAAAACCTTCCTCTTTAGCTACGCTTTTGAATTAAACTTTTAATAAACTAATTAAATATAAATTAGACATGAAAAAAACCAAATTGAAAATAATTTTTCCAACCTGAATCTCTGAACCAGACAAAGTCAGAAGTCTGTTCTTTCTGCGTTACGTAGATCACCGTATCTAAGGTTTTTGTGTTATGCAAGTTTTCGTAAAGGACGTTGTCAGACGCTTTAACACGTAGTCCTTTGGATTTCAAATTTAATTTCTGGAATGAATAATATTCTAATTGATGAAAAATAAATTGATTTACTAAATAATTTTGAATTTTCTTTGTCTTCTAAAGTTGAAATTTTGTCAGGAATTTATAATTTCGTTGTGAAATTTTTTATGGTTATATATATATCTATTATTTTGTTGAGGCTGGTTACTTATTGTCGCAATTTAATACATCATTTGAAAATTTTACATTTTTCAATTCTTCATTTTAACTTATTAAAATCTTTCTCAGAACACTTCCATCATTCATACTTTATTTTATAAAAATTATTTAATAACTTTGACAGAATAAAAACGTTGAACATTTTTTCAAAAGTTTGACCAATGGAACATACAGTTCAAATGCAACGAGCACCTTGCTAAATTTCCCGTCACGTCCCATAACCATCAAACCCCCGAATGCCCATTCCTCAGTGTTTCATCAGAAAAACAAAAATAAATTACAAATTTTTATTTTTCATTTCATGAAACTGATATTTGTTTACAAAATTTTTTAAAATTTATCATGTAACAGTAACAGATGCTCTGTGGCGGAGTGGTTAAGACTTCTGACACAGCATTTGCAGTAACCGTGATCGAATGTAAAGAATCCCCTATGCATCAAACGCAACGTGTGTGATTCGTTGGTTTACATGTCTTTACATACAGTTTATGTGGTATCTTTAAAAAGGTTTAGAAAAATTTTATTTTTAAATAAAAAAAATGAAAAAAATCGGCCTAATGTAAATATTTATTATCCAATTTTGATCCACTATTATAAATTATTCACAAAGAACAAATTTCAAAATTCTAATCTCGGAAACATTTCTGCTGTTGATATGCCAAATTTTGAAAACATGAATTATTAGAAAGCTGTAGCCAAACAAAAATTTTAGTGTTTTAAGGATATGATTTTTCAAAAATTCATACAATTTTGAGAGTAAGAAAAAAATGAATAAAAAAATTCTCGACCAAATAAAATGAAAACCTCTATATAAAAATGCATATGAACACAGACTCCCTAATGTTAATAATCACACTTGAAGGCAGATTAATGTATAGTACAAACAATCATGCATTCACACACACACATACATTCATACATACACACACATACACATGAACGCACACGCGCGCACACACACACAAAGGCATGAAAATATCTCGATGTAGTTCATAGAGCGCTAGACATGAAACATTCACAGATGAACGCATGGGCACGAGAGTAATTAAGCATATCTCTGTCTCTTGCAATTATATTTCAGTCGTAAATTTTACACCGGCTCCCCGAGGAAAGTTATTGTCTCAACGGCAGTACAATCATTACAACAACACAACAATGCAACATCACCATGAGTATATACTACACAACATGTATGTTACATAGACACCTGGCCGTATTTAGACGAAACCAAACTGGACTACTGTCTCGGGACTGCCACGGACAAGGGATTCCAAAATAGAAAAAAAAGTTTCCAAATTATTACGGCGTTTCAGCAACTTTCATGCTTTAGCAAACATCTCTTCGCATTTTACTAACACTTCTAAAAGGCAATACTGCATTTTTTGTAATAAATTTACGAAAAAATTGAAGAAAAAATTTTTTTGTAATGATCATGGGCTTCTGCTTATTCGTTGTCTTAGAGCTTCTTGATCTCTAAAATTTAGACTTGGATAGACATCCAGAAGATGTGTAGGGCTGAACAAATATTTTTGGTTGAAGTTAAAATAAGTAACCTAACAAAAATCGCATAAACATCACAGCAACAACATTACACAAGCAGCGCAGCAACAATCACAACAACACAACAACAACCCTTTTTGTGGTAATTATCATCATCTCAGAAGCCAAAACTCCATCAATGATTTACACGCATGGTCCTATGAACTCAACATTAAATATTTCGGCAGATCCAGCTGCCTTGCGACTTAAACGCAATCTTCATAGGAGAGTTAATCACAATTTTCGTATTAGTAGGCTGGTTTAATTGTATTGTAGGTGATAATTCTGAAATTAACAATTGAACGGTGGTGTAATTGTTAAGGTGTTTGGTCCTGTAGCCGTAGTAACCTGATTCGAAGGCAAGAAGATCACACTATCACATGCAATGTGTGTGACGCAATGAATCACGTGTATTACATACATCACTCTATGATTGTTGTTCCAACCTCTTAAAAATAAGAAAAAAATATCTTAGTCGAAAAATAAAATCTTCATTAGAGTTTACAAAAAAATCAAAAAAACTTTGTAAGAGCATCTATAAAATTCTAATAAAAAATATATTTATTTAGTACATTAAAATTGTTTTTCATAGCTTCAAATAATAATTTTTTTTAAAAGAAAATTTGTCTTATTCTAACAAAAACTAATGTAATATCATAAGGTTGGCACTGAAGTTTAGCATCTGTTAGGCTGTCAACTTTATTAGAATCAGCATAATTTTGTCAATAAGTTATAATAATATCTCAATGTGGACGCTTATAAATGCCCTATCACAAAAAAAATCAGTTAATAACGAAAGTTTTTATTAGAAGGCAAACATTCGAAAAGTGGTGAATCACCTACGAAACGAAATAAATGCTTGTAAATCTTTATTGCCGGTTGTCATTTGTAGAGTTGTCGTAACAGTCATGTCATCTATATTGTTATTGTTGTTATTGTTGTTGTTATCTTAATTAATTTTACAATTTTTTTTAAATTAAAACCTAAATTTTAAAAAATCACTAAATTTTTCGTCATTCAACATGAAATCCTCCTAACGGGCTGTTGAAATTATAAACCTAACTCGCTCCATCACACAAACAGATAAGCGTAAAGACATGGACATTCGGAAACAGATAGAACTACAGACACATATACACAAACAACAAACAAAACTGCCTGAAATGGATATACAATCACGCACAGATTCACCAAATAACTTTTTCAACTACAAAAGGCTTCTTAATGAAATAAAAGAATAAATTACGGCATGTGATGTTGAATGCGATAGAGATATTATCTCTATTTTGAGATCAATTAACATTCTCTTGTCTGAATACATGACGACGTTTTAATAGATCTATTTATCTGGTATCTACACTGTATCATTGCAACTGCTGCTGATACAAGAAGATGTCTATTAAACGTGTATCATTGCCCGCACACACGCCACACGCACGCACACAGACGCACACACACCAGGTCTCCGAAACATAATAATCGTAAAAAATAATGATGCACCACCCGTCATACTAGTTTTCATGATCATCGTCATGCTTATCATCATCATCACTGCCCATCATCATCGTCTTCGTCATCACCATCATCATAATTAATATCATTATTGTCATCCTCTCATCATTCTCTCATTATCATCGTCGTCATCCTAATCTTTTTCCTCCTCATCGATTTCATCATCACCAACTACCAGCTACCACACATTGAAACGTGATATCGTTGCTGCTGTGGTGTCTGCTTCGTCTGCTGCTGCTGCTGACGATGATGATGCTGATGTTCAGACGCAATCAGCACGACCATGAATAATAGATGTGCATTAATAAAGGCAGTGCTTTGAAATATTGATGACGTAATTGCAACATTTGCTGCTGTTGGCAACACTGTTGATAATATGCGCGAAAATTCTGCAACGTAAATCTCAACATGGCGGACCATTTTTTCAAAATGGCAGACCATTTTTCAAAATGCGGACAATCTTAAAATGATGGCAAATCTAAAAATGGCGGAAAATCTCAAAATGGCGGGCAACCTCAAAATGGCAGACGAACTCAAAATGGCGGCATTCTTAAATGGCAGACGATTACGTCATCGCGGATACTCTAAAAAGAAGACCATCCCTAAATTTGGAGGATGATCTCAAAATGGCGGAATTTTTATTACTGCATTTAAAATCAATCCGGTATAAATAATGAAAAACATTTGATGAACGATTTAACCGATGACCTCACAGCTGTCGTATTAACATCATCGTCACATTTAAAATTTCCTCATCAATCCAACAACCTCATGAAGATATTTCTGCCCGCTTTCATTGTGTTTATCACCATTCAACCATCTTCATCATCATTAATTCTTTCCAATTTATAAAATCTCGTTTTCAATATAGCTGACATTTTATTAATAATACTATTTTTTAATAAAGATATTCCACTCTAAAATATCATATATGATGCCATCATTAACATAATCATCATCGTCGTTTTCGTCATCATCATAAAACCATCATTTCATTATTTACTACAGAACAATTTTTTTTTATAATTTCAAAGTGTATGTAAACAGACACGCGAATCAACCCACCTCACATATAGCATGTGACAGTAGGGAATCTCTGCGATCGAACCTAGTCACTGCAAGAACAGTGCCAGGCGCCTTTGCCACTATACCACAGCTCTACCGACATTATAACCTTATACGTACGTTATACCTAATCACTTTATTATCATCAGCATCATTTCTTTTACCATCGTCATCATTTTCATTAAAAATCTGACGCCAGAGTGCCATAAACGCAACGCTCATTTTAATAACTTCGCATCAAATTCTGTTGCGTCGTAACAACTTTTTTTGGCCGTAAAAAAATTGATTTAATTTTTTGGCTGTAAAAAAATTTTCCTCCTAGTAAGAAACAATGAAAATGGTATAACAACAACAACAACATTAACAACAGCAAGAACAACAATAATAACGATATAGTCGTTTATAATAGTTAATGTTTGTAAAATCTTGGAAAAAACTTGTTCTTATGTTAATACCCCCAAAAATGTTTAAATTTCGAATTTTTATCTTCAATTCTTCAGTTCAATTATTCATTTTTTATATATAATTTTTTTCTGTATCAACAACAAACAAGATACTATGGTTTACCATCTATGAAGAATAGCAAAGATAACAAATATAACAAGATAACAATAATTAATTATATAGCGTAATTCCGACATTCCGGCGGTTATAACAATATAATAAAAATAAATTAGAAAAGAATTTAGAAAATGAATATTAATAAAACGTTAAAAAAATTAATGAAGGAAGATTTCTAACTTTTTCGTCTCTTATATGACAAAATTTTCTTCGGTTTATCTGTTTAAATAAAAAAAAGTTTATTTCTAATTTATTATAATCATATTATATTTAATCATATTATTCACACATTTTAGCAAATTTTTTGAAATCACGACTATCAACGAGAAGCCTTGAAAAATGTAAAAACTAACATACAATTCAATTCATTATAAATGTGTGTGATACATGGATTATCTTTGCTTTTGAACCGGGTCAACTCGATGCGAAGTATGGCTTCTCTATCGTTTGAGCCATCCCGCATATGAAATTAATTACACTCATCCGTAGATTTTGGATGATGAAAAGCTTTATATTGCTATCACTCTCGACTTTTTAACGGCCAGTTTTATTATCATGTTCAGTTCATGCGCAATATCGCGCTAACTTGCATGAAAAAAAATCTTCTTGATATAATTTTCAAGTCGTTAAAGGGAACATCATCGTTCATTTCTTATTAACATTTTTGTTACTAGCGTCGCCATCGTCATCACTGTATCATTTTCTTCGAAAGCGCTCATCTCATTACAAGGTGAATAAGGTCAAAAACATTTTATGTATGTATATTCCATGAGTGCATGCACAACACGCATACAAACCGCACCCACCCATCTTTGATGCACATAGCAGCATAACTACTACTGCTACTACTACTACTACTACTAATTCTACTACTAATACTACTACTAATACTACTAATACTATTACTACAACAACTACTAATACTACTACTAATACTAATACTACTACTACTACTACTACTAATACTACTACTACAACAACTACTAATACTACTACTATTACTACTATTATCGCTACTACTACTACTACAACTACTACTACTACGACTACTACTACTACTACCAAATAAAATCATTAAAGATCGACATGTGTTGAAAAAAACTTGTCGCCAGCGATAGCTATAAAAACCCGTTAGTCGAGACATTAATAGCTCGGCTATTCCTCCTCGAGTTAATGCGCCCTTAATGTAGGCGGACGTGAGCGACATGTTATTTCATAAGTGTAGCCTGTTTTTTCTCTCCCTCAACATATTCTTACTATTGTTTTGACTATATCTAATGTTGTTATCTTTTTAATGTTGTTATTATTATTATTATTATCATCATCATTTAATGATAAATTGATAAACACTGTTATAAGATTATCGTATGACATTTACTGTGACAGGAGCAAGCTATGATGCTAATTAAATATGTTTCACCGTTCTGCACTTAACTTCACAATTCACAAAATGGTCTTAACCTTTAATATTATTTTATAAAATTTTTACAAATTTTATCATTGCGCATTATTTCATTATTGTTATTATTATTATTATTATTGATGTTGTTGTCATTGTTATTATCGTAATTATTATTGTTAATGTTATTGAATACTATATATATATATATATATATACATATATGTGTGAGTGTCTGCTACCGCTACTTCTATTACTACACATGTGGCTGCAGTTACTAACATCATTACTACTACTACTACTACAACTATTACGACTACTACGACTGCTACTACTACTACTACTACTGCTAATAAAATATTACCATTACGACTAGTAGAGCCAGATCAAACAATAATGATAATAGTAATATAATAATAATGATTATAATAATAATAATAATAATAATAATAATAATAATAATAATAATAATATTGTATTACAGATAACGTTTAGCCTATAGAGAGTTATGATTTTTGGTAATTTTAATTTGATTGATTATATTTTTTTGTCTGAGCAAAAAATTAATGCAGCAATATGCTGTGTTGTATTTTTTTAATGAAGATTTTAAAAAGGCCTAAATTGCAGTTTTTAAATTTCGATAAAAATAGACATCGAAATTGTGTCGTGTTAGCGAAGAGAAATTTCTACTACATGGCATGTAAGAAGAGTATAAGTGGATTAAGAAGCTATGTATCAATTTATACATTAAATAATAATAACGATAATAAACTAATTTATTTTATAACAAAATAATTTATTTCATTATTTTTTTTGTAACTGATATTGTGAACAAGATCATTAGAATAATGGACAGGAATTTGAAAAGTTCTCAAGTAAATGGCACGTATCAAATGACGGGATGGCAATGGAGGACAATTGAATTTAACACGAAAGTTTAAAATACAAAAACGAACGGACGAACAAGAAAACCAACAAACAAACCAACAAACAAACACGTATGAAAATATGCACAAATATACAAACAAACTCATAAACAAACAAGCAAAAAAAAAAAAAAATAAATAAACGAAAAATAATTCTAATTCAAGTGCTGATATTATTATTTAACAGAATTTTTTTTCCAAGAAGTTAAAAAAGTTTAATTTTTTTTTTAAATTTAATTATACTCAATTATTATTTGCTATTTTATTTGTCGTTTTTTCTAAAAATATTTCATGGAAGAATCGGGGCCATTTTTTGATTTGAAAAAAATTGACAAAAAATTCATGTAATCTAGTAACTCTCTATTAACCAAATAAATGTAAATTAGCCTTCAATAGGTCTTCTTCTTCTCGTGTCTTATCCTTTCAGGACATTGGCGACCATCGACCTCCACAAAACCCGATCTTCAACACTTTGTAGTAGTTGAAATGTGGTGATATTCAACAAGTGACACAAGGACTTCACGAATGTTATTCGTTGTTGACCGCGGTCTCTTTTCCTGCAATCTTTCCAGTAGTTGTTAGATCTTCCATTCTTTCCTTCCGCATGATGTGACCAAAATATTTTAACTGCCCCCGTCGGATTATTTGTGGTAATTTCTTCTTTTCATAACCGGACTGTTTTAATATGGGCACTTGACAAAAAGTTACGATCCCGGTCATTGTGGTACATTTTATCTCTATTAAATTTTTCTATATAAATTAATTTTAACAAATTAAATTTTTTCTAAAATATAGATAATATACTTTTTAAACTAAAAACATGTATCTAAGCTTTTTATATGTCATGAGATAACACCATGCCATGTCTTAAGTGTTGGCCATTCAGAGGGCCATGGAAAAGAATTCACGAGTTCTCATCGAGGGTTAAATATTTCTACTTTTATTAAATTATTTTAAAACAATTATTCCATATCCTACCCAAAATAAACAACCATGCGACAAACGACAGTTCATTAATAACGTAATGACCATGATCGAGTGATGAAAAATTTTAAATACACACAAACAAACACACAGACATACACACAGACACACATACACACATACGCACATACGTACGCAAACAAACATTTTCTCACACGGACACACACAAACAAATATTTTCTTTCTCACACACAGACAAAAATAATTACACTTAGCCTCCAAATAAACACATCAACAATTGCAACACACACACAAACAAAGCGCTGCATATTTGCACACATATACAATATAAACATTCACAAAATTCAAACACAAGCAAGTAAGTTTACATGAATACACAAACACACACTCGAGCGCGCGCACGCACTTTCACGACTCTAACTTACATACACACACATAGACATACACACACATACGCAGAAAGACAGAATAGAATCACGACTGCGGTAGAGAGGAAATAAAAAACAGATAAGCCTACTTAGGAAATTATAGGGAGCGTTTGTTACATGGGCAGAGGTTGGAGAGCTTATAGACAGGCAGCACTGATTGAAATGTACGCCCTACATGACAGGATGCCACGTGACATCAACCTTGTGACATCAAACACGAAACAGCAACCACGTGACATCAGTGACAACGTGACATTACCAGATCACATTTTTTTAATTTTTAGAATTTAAGTGC